TAGATATATTGTTAACTATAATAAGGTGTAATTCTTATCAATCTTATAAAAGCTATAATAGTTACTGATTGAAATCAATATAAGTTGCACCATGTGTTAAATAAATTTGGTCTAAGAAAAAAGAAAAGCATCACATGGAATTAATTCCCTACAACTGATGAAATCAAGTCCAATATAAAGAGTTTCTATAACTCTTTTTTTTGTTAGTTTATACTAGTTATTTTTGGCTATTTTCAAATATTTTCATTTTTAACATATTTCCACCCCCTGGTGAAAATGGATATTTCTTCTTTTTAATATATCTCACAAAACAAAATATTATAATCATATACATATAACAAAACAAAACTAAGGGAATCTTAACAGAGATTAAAAGAAAAAAAAAGTTCTGATATGAAAAAACCAATTAACACAGAAATATATAAACAAGCATGGGTTGGGTTGCTTTCAGGATTTGACAAGAAATTACAAGAAGACAAAATATAATTAGTAGTAAATCAATTATGTTCAGTAAAGGTAATCACATGGAATTTTTTTCTTATTTTGGTGAATAAAGTTTATGGGATAGTCATTTTCATGTTTGGAAGATATTGTGTCTATATTGACAATTCTTTTCCAATGCCTACTTTGTGGGAAAAATAAAAAAGAAAAAGGAAGAATGATGAGTAAAGCATAGAAAAGGACCCATGACAGGGTAAGCTATGGAATTATTACCAAGAATAATGGTATAGAATTAAAAACATATTTCATTGAAAACATGAAACATTATTTATACTCATAAAATCTAAACACTATAAAAAATATTCATAAATTTGGTACAAAATTATCGTGTTTATAAAAAAAAAATAGATAATACATTATTCAAGTCATCACACAAACTATAATCATGTCTACCCTACAAGAAAGTATAATTGACATAATTAGCTTCAACATTTCATACATTAGAATACATTATAACTTGATAAAAATAATGGTTAGCTCAATTTTTTAAAATAAATTGTTATATCATTGAACTTGATTTTTCCGATCATACGAACGAATAGGTTAAGCAAGTAAGATATTGTCGGTGAAAAACTTATGTGGGCTAAATCAATATGTTTTTCTAAGATAAATTGTAATAGGATAGTTACAATTGTATCGGAGTAGATATCAATTTTATGAATGCAATAAGGGAAAATGATAACAATAAATTGGAGTCATCATATATAGATGACCTTTTTTAAATATAAAAATGAAAAAGGTCCAAAAATATCCTTATACTATTTGAAAGTATATTTTGCCAAAAACATAATTCAAAAAGTTCTTGCAATATCTATGACCAAACGACTTTTTAACTATTCGTTTATTATGTTAAATTTGTATTAGTGTCCCATAATATTTGATGATAATATAATTTTATAAAAAGTTAGCTATAACATACTTTTACATGAAGGGATGAAAAGTATATTTTTATAAAGTATTAAAGGTTAACTATATTGAATTTATATGGATCAAAAGTAAAATTTACTAATAACTTAAAGGATAAAAAATGTTATTTTCCTTTATTATCACCCATGATCAATAGTCTAATGGAATTCGAAACTCTTTGGCTCATATCTAATATTCATTATAATTCAATCATTATAAGAGTCACTAAAGTGAAAATACTCCCTTAAGGTGAATTGTTCGATCACAAAGTTTTATTTTGAAATCTTTAATTAAAAATAAAAGGATATCGTAATTACATCACCAATTAAGATTTAAATTGTTATGAGCGAAAGAACATTTATATTTGAAAAACGTCCTAGAGAGGACCTAAGGTTTAAACAAACATATTTAGAAAATCAAACATGTTACAAGAACTCAAAAAGAATAACTAAGGAGGACCTAAAGTTTTAAGACAATATGTTATGTTGCACCATGCTACTTTTGTTACAAGCACATGTCAAAGAAATTATACTTTGTACAGAATTGGAAACACTATGTAGCAACAAGCAATGTAATTTGAAGGTAAACAATAAAAAGCAAAATGAGAGTGATGTATCACTAATTCAACAAAAGAATGAACTTCCAAGCTACTTTTTGTGAAAGTGGAGGAGTAGTGATTGTCTTTTTGGTTTGGCTTTCACATATAAGTTGATAGTAAAAAGTGAAAAAGGTGTTGCTGGTGTATTGTCCTTACCAATCACATAAAACACAACTTGTGAATGCTATATCCATTATTCCACATTTGAACTTGTGAATTCTATATAGTATGTTTCATTATTTCAAATTCTATAATGAAATTATAACCTTTTGGTTCTATAATCAATGTACTACCCACCAACTATTTCACATTTATGAGATGGCCTAACCAACCACTCCTTTGTAAAAAATAATTTGCACTTATTATTTACATCATTTTGTAATAATTTATATTATTGGTTAGATGAGAAATTAAGATTTGGAGTGTATTATTACTATTTAGTAATAGTATACGTAAAGATATGTATCATATATTCATTAAATGTACAACTTCAAGTGTGGACAAGTTTTTATTATGCTTTCACCTCACCCTCTAACACAATCCATTATATGGTGAAACGATAAGTTATACACTTATGCGATATATATGGTAAAGATGTTGGTGACTAATGAAAGCAAGAAGTTCGATATATTGAATTGTGTTGGTGTAATATACCACAAATATAACAAATTACAGTTGAAAATAAAATGACAAAAAATGAATAAATAATCTTTAGGCTGAGGCACGAATATCTCGCTCTCTTTAAGGAGATTCAAACCCACTGCGGCATAATTTACACCGATTCAACAGTATCACTCTTGACTTGTCCCCTCCAGGATACAACAACCCAACAACGTGTACAACTCAAACAACTCCGGATTAATTGAAGAGTCCAAAGCACCACAAAAAGAACACCTTCCTTCAACATATATAAATACTCTCTTTTTATATATAGTGAATATAGTTGAAAACTTAGAATATTTTCTTTGTCTCAACTCTCTCTTTCACTACTACACACTAAAAATATTATTTCACACTTCTCATCTTTCTTGAGATACTTCACAAAGGAAGAAACACCACTATTTATAATTGAAGAAATCTTCCATATAATCAATAGGTAGAATGAGGGGTAGTAATGTGGGTAGATAAATGTGATAGATGTTACATGAGTTACAAGAAACTAATGGTTATATGAGTTACAAAAAACTAATGATCATGAGAGTTATAAGAACTAATGGCCATATAAGTTATAAGAATCAATAGTCATCTTCTACCACAATTTACACCCACTAACTTATGCACTTCATATTCTTTTTTAATAATAAAATGCATAATACACGAACAAATTGACAAGTCATTTTGATTAAAATGGATAAGTTAATGAAAAATTGAGCTTATTCTTATAACATTAAAAATAAAATGAACTATATATAAAATTATAAATTCAAATGAAATAAAGATGTGACCTATGACCTAGAAGAAACACAATAATGGCTATTGTACAGCAATTTCCATTAACTCTATTTTTACTTTTTCTGTCAGGGAGAAGTGATACTAGCAGTCCTCTCATGTGGATTCACAGTTGGGAAAAATTATGATACCTTTTTTGGGTGCCTAAAGAATTTTGTATGGCATCTCTAGTTTTTTGTTTTGTTTTGGTTGTTGGACAAAATAATACTCCAACAGTAGTATTAAAGGAAAAATATTTAAATTTTTTCATGTATTGTTCAAAATTGGTTAATTTTGTACTCAACTTACATTTTTTGGTTCATTCATAAATTCAATAACTCCCATATATATTTGCCTTTGTAATTTTATATTTATGGAAAAGGATAGAAATCTTTAAAGAAAAAATAAGATAAGCAATTAACTAATGGTGAACCCCACAAGTCCAAATTCTCTATAGAAATTTTTTTTGTACATAGTTACTCTTAAAATGAACGTTACTATAGATCGAAGACGAAAAGTGATTTTTTTAAAAATCGAATAAGAAAAGAAAAATAACGAAGTACGAAATTGTTTGTTTTTGAATGATGCTAAAGGGCAAATTTGATATTTTTCCTAATAAAAATATCTTAGTTGATGACAAATGAGAATAGGTACAAAATAAAATACTATTTTTTGGGGTATGAAAGATTTTTAAAAAATGTCAGGATACCCAACAACATAACAATTCAAAATTATTGATGCAACAATGACTCAATCATGAAGGTTGGTGGGCCAAATGAGTGGGCTTAATATAGCCTCACTTTTGAAGGGCCCAAGGTTTAGCCCAACCCTACTTCACTGTACTGGGCTGGCTTCACTGGCCCAACAGATTTTGCCACCAAGAGCCTGTTTGAATTGGCCTTTCGTTATAAGTTATTAAAGGTTTCTGACTTCTTCTTCTTTTTTTAGAAAAAAAAAACATTTTAACTTAAAAATCAAGTATCATCACAATTAGCCAATTAATTCAAAATTATTACTAGTGTTGGTATTGTCATTATTAATGTAACTATCATCAATATCTATATCATAAAAGTAAAGAAATTAAATTTGTTATGCAGAAATTCGTTTTAAATATTGTAATGAAAGAAATACAGAGGGAGACTTATAATTTATTGGGTACTTTATCAAATAAGATCATTCGATTTCTATAAAATTTATCATTAAAATAAATCTTTGAGAGGAACAAATTTAAGCGGAGCAAAAACAACTTATAAATAAATATCTTGTTAAAATGTACTCAACTAAATTACGCAAAATATACAAATTTTAAAATCAATATGATTAAGACCTAGTTCTTTTCAAATATTAATTTCAAACATCTAGTTAACAATAGGTAAATCTTATAGACATATCCTTATAGTTATATATATTCAAAAGTGTAATGTAAAAAAGGTTGAGATGAGTTTTTCCTTTTTCCTTTTTTTGGGTTCTTGAAAATCACTTAACATAAGGGGTGTAATATGTAAATCATCCTAAAGACCAAAGGACCTCAGTGCAAATAAAGAAGCTATATATAGGGAAAACCCTAACCCCCCTCAGTTTGTCATTTTAGAGATTTCGCTGCTACTTATAGCCAACCGGAGCGCGGCAGCCACCGTCACACCGCCAAACAGCCACCATGGGTCGTATGCACAGTCGAGGGTTCGTCTACTCTTTCTTCTTCTTTATCTTTATTTTGTTCATTCTACATTTATACTGATAATTTTTAATCCTTTTTTTGTTGCTCAGTAAGGGTATTTCAGCTTCAGCTCTTCCATACAAGAGGACTCCACCAAGTTGGCTGAAAATCTCTGCTCCTGATGTAAGGAATTACTTGCTTATTAGCTTTATTTCTCTTGTTTCTATCGTATGTATAGTTAATTAAAAAATAAGAAAAATGTAGAAATTTGTAGCGATGCCTTGTTTGAATCCTAATTTTCCCTTATTGATCGCCACCACAAAGATAGAATACCCTAATAGAGCAAATATTAACATTGCTGATAGTTGATTGATTGATTAATATATGTTTCAAGAATTTTGAATATCCAGTTTCTTCTGCTGATGATTTCGTTATAAGATTGGACCTTAATGTGTAACTGTACATACATTGTGCACTTTGGAATGTTACTACATTTGCCTTTTCTTTTTCAAGCTCTAGTTTTTAAATTTTGCCAAGTATGCATAGTGTGATGTATGTTCTTAATGAAAGACAATGTGGCTGTACCTTGTTTTGGGGATTGTGTTTCCTAACGATGCCTCTTTTACGTGACACAGTAAATGTCACTTGGCTTTTTATAAGATGAGTTGTTGGAGTTACCTAACTGATGCTGTTATGCTCCATTGAAATGTAATCCAGTCATTCGGTTTTTCTATAGTGACAGTACTATCTTTTGCTCCAGGTTGAGGATAACATCTGCAAGTTTGCCAAAAAAGGTTTGACACCTTCTCAAATTGGTGTTATTCTTCGTGATTCTCATGGGATTGCTCAGGTGAAGAGTGTCACTGGTAGCAAGATTCTCAGAATTTTGAAGGCTCATGGTACTTGTTTGTCTTTTTGTGTATTTAAGTTGCTCTTTTGACATTACTTTTTTAAAAGAACGCTTGTTTAACCTATTGGTGTTTTCCAATTAGGACTTGCTCCCGAGATTCCCGAGGATCTCTACCACCTTATCAAGAAAGCAGTGGCAATCAGGAAGCATCTTGAGAGGAACAGGAAAGACAAGGACTCCAAGTTTAGATTGATTCTTGTTGAGAGCAGGATTCATCGACTTGCTCGCTACTATAAGAAAACAAAGAAGCTTCCACCAGTCTGGAAGTAGTAAGTTCATTCTTACATATTTTTCTTGGTGGCGAACTGCTTCTGATTTAATCATCTAGCACACATTTCATTTTTGTTTTGCATGTTTTATTAACTCTTCTTGCCTATTTTACTTTGTGGTGAACTGTTTCTGGTTTAATCATCTAGAACACATTTCATTTTTGTTTAGCATGTGTTACAATTTCACGTGTGCAAGTTAAAATTTTGTTCTGAAATAACTTGTTTACACCCAGGCATGTTAAATAACTGTCTTAGGGAACATTACTAGCTGGAAACTTTCCATTGTTCCACCAAACGATTTATGTAGGTCTATGAATTGAACTGGTGGATTAAGTCTATTTTGGGGACTTGTATTGTTCCATTGGAAACCACTTTATGCTTCCCCTTTGGCTACTTCATTGGTGTTATGTGCAGCATGAATTCAACATCACAGTATTTATTTTACTTTTCACTAGTGTGGAGGACACCTTTTTGAAATTGTAATTGCAGTTTGTGTTTATAGTTGCTCTTTAGTTATGTCAGTTAAATTATGCTTCTCCTGTGTGCCTCCCACTATAGTGCTTTTTTACTTCATTCACCCCTCTTCCTCTTTTTCCATTAAATTCTATACAATCCAGTGAATTGCAGTACTTAGGTCAATTTTTGCCTTGCAGCGAGTCTACCACCGCGAGTACTCTTGTGGCTTAGAGAAGATCATGGATTGGGATTACAAGTTTCTTGGTCAAGTCCCATCTTCAAAATTACAGACTTGAGTTGTTTTTGTATGGCCGGGTTGTTTGAAACTATGAATGGAACAAATTTTGTTTTATGAGAGATGATAAGGGTTACATTTCCTACTTTAAATTTGCATCCAATTATCTTATTACTTATTGTGTATTTATATAGCTGCTGTCAATTTCCGTGGTTATTAAAGTTTTTGGAAATAGGCTTAGTAATTGTGCCACATACAACTAAGAGATGGAATTGCGCCAAACACTGATTGGAATTAGAATTTTGCTTTTTCTGAAACAAGATAATTATGTGTCTTTGTCTGTCTTGTCCTTAACAAATGAAGTCAATTGGATGTTTTGACTTGCTCATTTATCATTCGAATTAGTGCTAATGTTTGGATTCTCTCTCTTGGCGTTTGGTTTTCGAAATTTGGTGCTCAACTTCGAATTCTGATGCCATTAGAGAAGATGTTCCAAGTTCTTCAAAGTGGTAAATTTGGAGCTTCATTGGTTTACCGAAGAGCTAGAGTCTCATCAAAATACTTGGCAATTTAATTGTCAAAGGATGTTGTGAAGCTTTGACTGTTAATTGCAAAACATCTGTAGGACTAACTTTTGAAGATAACCGTAAAAAGAAGCATATCGACGATATGAAGAAAACAACGGCTCATCTAGTTAGTCGTATAAGAACGAGCATTAGCATAAATTTTGTACAATTTTTTTCTTTTATTGTAACATAGAACTCTTAAGTGCGTCGGTAAAGCTCATTCTACTAAAGAGAAAAGAAACTCAACGCTAAAAAATAATTATAAACTAAATTTCTAGAGGTAGTTTAGTCATTGCCACCCTATTCTCAATATTGCTCCACCTGATTTTTGGCAATAGAATTTCAAACGTCTCTCTTCATCTCAAAGTGTTCCTGTAATTTCAGGTATTTCGTAATTGATATTTTCTGCTCTCTTTCAATTCTCCTTTCTCCATTCATCTTTCAACTTTTTCCTTCACCGTCTGTTTCTTCTTCCTGTAGTTGTAATTGTTAATCATAATATCAAGTGAACAATTGTTTCTTTTCTTCCTCTATTATTTCTTCCATTGTCTACTTAAAATTTCAACAATCACCCAGGTAATTTATAATTAAAATTGGTTTTTGGCCCAATTTGATGACAAAAATATAGATTCGGATCTGTTGAGAAGCTTTGATTTTTCACCTTTTTATGCTCAAAGATACCAATTTTTGGTTTCTCCCATCTCTATCTAGCTTGCATGTTGTGGTTTCAGTTGTTTTGTTCATGAATTTGATCAGGGTGTCTTCATATCTGTGTTTTTTTTTCCTATTTGGGTTTGTTATTGATGTTCAATTGTGCTTTTGCTTAGGAGACCCAATAATTTGAAGCTTCAATTTTGGTTTTGTTATTGATGTTCAATTGTGCTTTTGCTTCGGAGACCCAATAATTTGAAGCTTCAATTTTGGTTTTGTTATTTCATCTTTTCATTCTCCCATGTTGCGTCTCAAAGCTTTCTGTCTGTTACATGCAGTAATTAATTTGGCCTTCTTTCTGTACATATGGGTTTCTTCTTTCTAGGTAAAAGCCAAAAAAATGAAGCTTAGTCCACAGTGTTAAAACTTCCAAGTTTTATAATCTGTACGTTTATGAGCAACTCTTCACTATACTACTTACTGAGTATCTGATTTTTACACCACCGGATATGCTTCCATCAAGAAAAAAGATGGTTCATTTTCTCTCTGTTTTCGAAAAAGGTGAGCCTATGCATCCATGTTGATCATGTAAATGTGTTAGATTCCTCTTCTATAGAAAAAATATTTCTATTTTACTACATTGGTTTACACCTGAATCAGCTTCTTAGCAAGAGTAAAGTTGTAAACAATTAGGCATCTTAGCAAGTATCTACTTAGAATGAATATTTTAGTGTTGGAAAAGCCAAATGAAAGAGATATATACAAAGAGGGGGCTGGTTAAAAATGGTACCTTAAGCTTGGTTATTGATAACTGGGATCAACAATGTGAGTTCCGTTAGCTTACATATAATTTGCAGAAAAAAGTTAGTGTGTCCAACCCCCTCTTTATGTCTTTCGTCTATCGTTAATTTCTTTCATTAAATTAACAGCGTCTCTCCTTTATGGGTTGCATAGAGGAAAAAATGATCTTGTTCTGCCTTACCGATAATTGCCCGTATTTTGTAGTATTACAATTCCTTAATTGGTCTTGCATTTGATATTCATAATGTTTAATATGCTAAACTTTACCATCATATTATACCAAATATAGTGAGGTGAATCCTTCCAATCGGGTGGAAAGATGATTCCTCAAAGTTACAAAACATGGTGAAACATAGAGAGGGCTACCTACTAGATGTCGAGAGATCGGCCAGAGAGTATGCATCTACTCTGAAAATAGAAGAGACACAAAATGCTTTCCTTCCTCAGATGGAAATATTGTTATGAAAATATGCACTTTGCAAAGCCAGGATTCAATTGATTATTCTGTAAAAGGAAAGTTATCACCTATTAGCTAATTTGTTGTTGCATAATTTAATTTCTCATGGAGTTGAGAGGAAAATTTAAAAAGCTGTATAGCATCTCTACGTTGTTTGTGTGCCAAATTCATCTACATAAGTTATAACACAATTATTAGCGATTGTATCTTGTTAACATATTAATCATCTTTTATGAAATTCAATAACATGTAGACCTTTTGGTTGGACATTTCTGGCAAAAACAAATATAGTACAAAATATAATACACAAAAGCGCGGACCAATCACATCTAGTCTAGGATTACTATTTAATTTCTCTCTTTTTTAAATAATAATAATAATAATAATTTCCATCTTTGCTTTTTATTTAGAGCAACATTTGTTAAAGAGTACATATAATTCCCAACTTGGGAAAGAAAAGATCCAAGTAATTGGAAAAAAATAAATAAAATAACTGGAGCTTAACGCACCCCCATCCCACCCACGCAGTTTCTTATTCCATGTTCACTTTTCTGGTCAGTTTCCGACTAGTACGTTGCCGCCTTCTTTTTCTTCCTTCACCTCCTTTCACATCCTTCCTCTCTCCTTCTTTGCTGCCTGGTTTCCCTGCTTCAATGGACAACACTGGTTTCCACAAACCTTCATCCTCATCCTACTCTGCCTTTTCTCATTCCAATCGAAGGTAAAACAAAAAATCTTCTTTCTTGCTGATTCCTCTGTAAAGTTTCAATCTTTAATTGGAAAATTTTGATTTTGAATCAATGACAGCGGTGGTAGAGGTAGAGGAAGAGGACTGGACACGAGGGATAATACAGAAAGATCAGGGGGCCGTGGCGGTGGTGCTGGAAGCTCCGGCAAAGATAAAATTGATGCTCTTGGTAGACTATTGTATGTATATGTCTTTTTCTCCTTTCAGGCTTTTGATTTTTATTATGTGACCCATGGTAATCAATGCACCTCAATTCGAAATTAGTTGGGTAAGCTATATGAATTCTATGTTTAGGTTTTTATGTCAGACCCATGATAGTATAAGAAAGTTTAATCAATCAGTCAGCAAATGCCGCCTCAACTCCAATTAGTTGGCTTTGGCTGTATGAATCCTCTCTGCCCATTTTGGTTTATTTCAGGCCTTCATTTCTCAAAGATTCATAATAATTCATAGTTTGATTATTTTGAGCTTCAACTTACAATGACCCTCGTCCTTTTTTCCTGGTTTGTGACTGACATTGTTTTGCGTAACTCGATCACGGGTAGGGGAGAGTTAATTCATGAAAAACATAATAATTAGAAAATAGTTTCTACCCATGATGATCACTGGGAGTGATTAGTTACAGTCTTAAGAGTAGTAACGATATGTATGTGTTGTAGTGTTTGGAACTATTGTTAGCTGAGAACCAAGTGTCACTTGACTTGAACTTTCTAAGTTCTCTTATAAAGGACCAAACTTTGTCTAAACTAAATATGATTTGTGGAATATTCTGTAATGTTGTTTATCCTCAGGACACGCATTTTGCGGCACATGGCCTCTGAGCTAAACTTGAATATGAGGAATGATGGGTATGTGAAGGTGCAAGATCTGTTAAAGTTAAACTTAAAAACATTTGCAAATGTCCCATTGAGGTCACACACAGTTGATGATGTCAAAGAGGTTAGTTATGTGAAGCCTTGTGCTCCTTTAATTTATTACCTCTGTTTCTTGTATAAGGTTGATGAAAAGTCTGATTTGCTTCTTATTTGGATTGCAAATCGTTTTTGAGTTAATTTAGTTGAAAAGGATTGGTACCTTCAATCCTAGCTGGAAATTTGACAATGTCTGTCTTTTCATTGTCACAACTCACAATTGAGTTGATTGCTCCCTTTTCTTTTATTTGAGATTTCTGTTCTACATATATTTTCTTTTTGTATGCTTTCTTATAGGCCGTACGGAAGGATAACAAGCAAAGATTCGGCCTTTTGGAAGAAAATGGAGAGCTTCTGATACGTGCCAACCAAGGCCATACAGTAAAGGTACTTTTTCCTCCGTAATGTGGAGTTATTTCCTTGTATATTTCAGATGGAAATTAGTTGGATTAGTCTATCAATAAGTCATGGCATTCGGAGTGGAGGAATCTCTAAAGGGTACATCCACTATAGTTGGATGAAATTCTGATGAATGAAGAAGTAAATTCTCAACATAATTGGAAATGAAAGAGAGGGGGAGAATGGAAGACTGGAATGTGAGAGATTGAACACGGATTTTATATTGTTCGTGCACGTTTGAAAGCACATTAGTTGAGTGTTTTTTATATCTCTAAGTATATTTCATTTAATGCAAGCATTTACACCCTTATTTGACACATAACCAAACGAGACAACAGTAAAGAAAGTAAATGCATTTAGACATTTAAATATGCATCTTTTGGCTAGTAATCTTATTAGCAATGAAACACTATTATGAGATTCTCAGTGCATGCGTGTGTTATCCTGCTTTTTTTTTTTTTTTTTGATGACAAGGGAAACCCGTAGTCGCTACCCTTTGGGTGCGCACAAGGTAAAACCCCCGCTCCTATGCAATAGCTCGCAAACCACATAGGAGAGGTAACCTGCACTAGGCAAGCCCGGTGCGACGAGCTCGACCCAGAAGGCAAACCCCTTGCTTTCGCTGGCAAGGGGTTTCGAACTTGAGACCTCCAACATGGAAGTCCCAAGCCCAAACCACTGGGCCACCCCGAAGGGTTGTTATCCTGCTTTTAAAATTCCAATTTCCATCTTTTCATGATTGAAAGGCTCATGATATGCAGACCATTGTGATACATGTTTTGCCCTTGTATGAAAAACTATTGTAATCAGACATCCAATGAATGATATTCGGCTCACAAATTAGCAGTATCATTAGTAGCTGAAGAATATTTGTTTTCCACTTTACAGATAGTTGAAACTGAAAGCTTATTGAAACCGATCCTTTCAGCTGATGAAGTTTCAGGTAAGATAATTTTGTGCATTTAATAACTTATAAACACTACTAGTTGGAGTAATGAAAAATTACTCTAATTTTGAGTCTGTCTGAGCTATGATTTAAACTGTTTTATACATTTTAAGCATCCTGTTCAGCAACATCTGGTTGACAGGGTCACAGGATCCAAAAAAGGCAAAGAGAAAAAGAAAAGAAAAGAAAAGGAACGCATGTTTGGTCATGGCCCGAGTATTGAAAGTGAATACCTAAAAAGCTTCATAAACATTTTGGGGAACTTTAACTAAATATAAAAGGCGTTTTTAAAATCTGCCCTGCTAAGAGATGATGCTTTGGGGTTGAGCTTTTTTGTTGAGAGTCACATGAAGCAATACAAATCTACAGGGAATTGGCAAAGAGGCTATCTTGTTTTAACCGTGATATTATATTTTTTTCAAGGAAATGGCTATATCTTTATCCAATGCTCTTGATTTCTATGATTTTTCTTCTCCTAAGATTATTGTCGTTCTAGCCACCTCAAATCCTTGATAAGTAGTATCTTTCAGGATTAACTTTGAGAGAAGAAACATATTTGAACTGAATGCTAGTAGCAAGTTGTTGATTCTTGTGTCTCATTTGTGTAAAATTTATTCCCTCTATCTGTGATTTTCAGGTTAGTGTAAAATTTATTCCCTCTATTTGTGATTTTCAGATCTGTCGGTCAACTCTTGACCAATTTTGGAACAAAATTCAACACAGTTAGTTAGGACTGTGAATATAGTTAAACTTTTAGTGACTTAACAATGTTATGAAAATATTACAATTGATATTTTTCCTTGAAATAGACTTGCAAAATATCACAGATTTGGGCTGAAAGAATGATATTAGATCTTCCTTCGACCCCAACTTATATGACAAAATCTCAAATTGGTGACAGTTATCCTGAAAAGATCGTGCCTTTTTACAATGCAATAACAGCTACCAAAAATAAATTTCATTTCAGGATAATGTACTAAAAGATGAGTATTAGCGTTAATAACTATCTTGACCTCAATAGATAGTTATGTATATAAAATGAGATCAGTTCCTTGTCTGGTGCTGAAGAACAATTTTTTGCATCAATGTCTCCCTGTGTCCTTAAAAAATTTCTTTCTCCATATTTGAAGTTGTGGTTTTCATTTGTGGCAATGTGCAGTTTGTGTACATGGCACTTACAAGAAGAATTTGGAATCAATTTTGGAGCATGGGCTCAAACGCATGAAAAGGTTACATGTTCATTTCTCATGTGGCTTGCCAACAGACGGCGAAGTAATTAGTGGTAAGATACCTTACAAGATCTTAAATCTATTGCCATTTTCACTATTTACGCTACTGTCATAAATCCATCGATTCTGAATGTTTTTCTCATGGCATGTATAATCCCTGTTCCACACAAATTTTCCCAACTGGATCATCAAAGATACAGTTGTTGATCTAGTAGAATCCTGACATGGTACTTTTAAGAATCATTCCCCTTAGATATTGGGCTTTCTGATCTCCATGTGTAAACTTATGGGTTGTAGTTCATCTTTGACCTTCAGTATCTTCCTCTATCAGCAGCCTTTAGCCAATTTACCTGAAGTCTTGGTTTGCTTGGGTGACTAAATATTCTTTGTTATTGAACAGGAATGAGGCGAGATGTTAATGTCCTCATCTTTCTTGACGTGAGAAAAGCTTTGGAAGGTAAATTGGTTTTGATTTGTCGAATACTAGTCGAGTTTCTCTAAAGTATTATGAAAATTCCAATAAAATGGAATGTGAATTAAAGTATAAGTTGGCGATCAAACATATTGTAGCTTTAATAGGTTTTCAAAAAGTAAGTTATCAAGAAAGAATATTCTTTTCTCAAAGTGAAGTCTTAGCTTATTTCTATGTTCTTTATTTAGATTCAAACACTAATCACGAAATAAAGTATATTCAGAAGTTGATATGTGTGCTGAAGTCATGAATATTTGAAAATCCTACTTTTTTGCTGATTCTCACAGTTTTCTTGCATTGCTTCAGATGGGATGAAGCTTTATATCTCTGAAAACAGAGTTATCTTGACAGAGGGTATTGATGGTGTGGTGCCAGTGAAGTACTTCCAACAATTGGAGTCATGGCCAGATAGAAAACCTTTGTCATTATAGAATATGTCATTTTTTCACTCTTCCTCTCCCCTTAACATCTGTTTTTCTTCTTACTCCCTTGCACTCTGTTCCCAGGAGGAATAAGGGAGTAGTGGCACCCTGTGGTGTCTTAAAACATTTATTGTGATTGGATTCATGATCTTGTGTATTGACCCCTCTAATGTAGTGAAATCTAGTAACCACAAAAATGAAGTCCCACTTCATGTCAGGTTGAAATGAGGTTTTTATATTCAAGGTGAAGGGTTCAGAATACAGGCAGATTATTCAAATGCTTGTAAATAAACATTGTGATGGAAGATAGCAGAAAGTAATCCTTTCAATCAAAGAAAAGAATACTGGCAAAAGCATCCCACAAGCTAATAATTGTTCCTGATTGAACTGCAACCAGTGAATGCATGAGTCCCTATTTAAGATGCTGAATTTCAATATTCGCAAATACTGGTATTGGTGAAATATTAAGATAACTGTCACAAACTTTACCTTTTTTATTTTTTTTTCAAACTGAAGGATATGTCCATAAATAACTTCAAAGCAATTCTGGGAATTCCTTGAACAACTTTAATCATTTCATATTAACCTTGCATCAAATACCGTCCAAACACCCAACTCGAACTCGTATACAGAGGCAATCATACAATAAAATCTTACTAACAAAACCCCAAAGCAGAGTTGGGAATGGCAAGCTAAATCTATCAAGGGGATAAAATGAACAGGAATGGCAAGCTGCATCGATCAAATAGATAAGAATGCAAACGCTTTGTCCTCGTAACTGTCAAAATTTCATCCTACTAGTGGAAACAGAAACTACCAGTATAAAGTCTTTTGGTTGAAGTTCATTTTAACAAATAAACTTCGAAGACTGAAAACAAGATACTCCAGTTTATGATATACTTTTCCTAATATTCAGGCTGCTAAACGAGAACTCATGCAATTAGACATGATCCGCAAACTGAATATCAAGAACAATGACAATATGAAAGATGCACAAACTTTTCAGTTTTCTGTACATTGCTACAGATGCCAAAAATGCTAAGTTATTTTCAAATGTTTAAAATGGAAAGAAAATGAAATCCAAGAAAAGCTCTTGACACGGACTCCAAGAGGATTGCAACTCCCAATTGTTTGTACATATGCTTAGAAACAGAATGAAATATGGGGATAGCTTCCACTATAGTGTTCAACCTTAGATATCTAAGGAAATGAAATGGATCAAAACCAAGTTCAGATGAATTCTAATACAACATAAACCTCATGAAAGGACCAGAAATTTAGCTATCCTATTTTAGTTCCCACTTATTGAGGAGGTAAATGAGCACCCAAGCTTTCACACCTCAGTGCCCAATTCGGAAATTCTCATTTTATATTTGACAGATGAAAGATCAGAAATTTACATTACTGCATCAGCATCTTGATCCATCCCGTCACATAAACCAGAAGTGCAACTTTCTAAAACTTAAGTTGATGATAGTATCTAAATAGGATTAGTCTCAGCAACTAGTAATTCTAAGAGAAGCACATTCAGAACCATTCAATAGTATTGCTACTTCTTCAAAATGAATTAGTGCTGTAACTACCCAAATAGTCAATGAAATGGACATTTACACAATAAATTCACTTCTAAATCGGAAGGTAAAGATGGACCAGATAATTTGTATGAGCCATCACAGTATCAACATAATTTCCAAAAAAGACTAGTTGTTCATTGATATAGCACACTTCTTGATGTTAGTGTTTGCATTTTACTTCTGAAGACTGTCTCCAGAAGGGAGGAATCATTCTTAGCTTGCAGACATAAAATGTAAAGGTAGAAGAAGATGAAAGGCAAAGTATGTCTCCTTGATCCTATACTAACTAGTTTTCTGGTTAAGCGCTAGCATCTCACATACTCAAGGAAAGGAAACATAGAACCTAGAGGAGCTGGAGCATTGCGGGGTTCTCTTCAGGCTTCTTAACTGTCAGTTTCTAACGGTGCTTCTTATTCCTTGCCTTTCTTTCATTCATAAAGAAATAACAAACAGGGAAAAGAACAACGAAAATAATCTATTATAACGAATCTAAATAATCAACTTCCAGTAATAAACCAAAAAATACTGAATCACAAAGTACGGAATCTTGTTTAACCGCCAAAATAAGAAATATACAATCTCAACATTCATGTAAAAGGATGATCTCAGAAATGTCCTAACCAAACAAATCTATGCAAGAAAACAAATGTGGAACTATCATGTGCTACTCTTATTAGAACTTAATAAAGATGATAAATCCGCTGTCCATCAATCAGCAGTGGTCTATCAGTCGTGAATCCTAAATTGAACAAACTACAACAATTACATTCCAAAAGTAAAAAAAGTTGGTTTAAGGTTCCATTTGACACAGATCAAATTGCCCAGCACAAAACTTCATCATCAGAGGGATCTGATGTGCTCCATATATGGCATCATCAAGATTTAGAAAGCAAGAAAGTGGGGCAATCGATCGAATATGTGTTAAAAAACAATCATAGAATCAAAATGAACAAGAATTGAATGATCCTACCGCACAATTCAAAGAATGTATCACTGGGCACTCTTCTTTCCATTACCATAGTAATTGAGGTACCATCGAACAAATTTCTTCAATCCCGTCTGTAGATCCGTCGTAGGCTTATATCCAAGCTCCTTGTGGGCTGAACTTATATTGGCATGAGTAAATGGCACATCTCCATTCCTTGGCAACTTCATCACCAATCTCTTGGCCTTAACCTTTAGCAACCTCTCCAAAATGCTGACAAGATCTGAAACTGGCACAGGAGATGTGTTGCCTAAATTGAACACCCGCAGTTGAGCAGCGCCTTTCTTCTTCCCACCACTTCCAGTGCTCTTCTCAGCAGTATCCAATGCTGCCAAACATCCCTTCACTATATCATCAATGTAGGTAAAATCCCTAGCTACCGTGCCATGATTAGCAGCCTCGAATATAGGAATCGATTTTCCCTTCAAGATATCCCTTGTGAAAAAGAAGTAAGCCATGTCTGGCCTACCCCACGGTCCGTAAACGGTGAAAAATCTCAATCCAGTTAATGAAAGCCCATATATATGATTATATGTATGAGCAATTTCCTCACCAGCCTTTTTAGTTGCAGCATAAAGACTAGCAGGCTGATCTGTTCTATCCTTCTCTGAAAAGGGTACCTTAGTATTCAATCCATACACAGAACTAGATGATGCCCACACAATAGCTGGTTGAGGATTAACACTTTTGCAAATTTCAAGAACATTAACAAGACCAGCAATATTACTATGCACATATGATCCAGGATTTTCCATGGCATAACGTACACCTGCTTGTGCAGCTAAATGCATTACATGAGTAAATGGAACAATATCAAAAAGTTTCTTCAAGAGGGTGGCATCATTGATATCACCCTCAACAACATACACCCCTGTTCGTTCTAAGAGCGCTTGTCGTGCTCTTTTGAGCGAAGGGTCATAATAATCATTGAAATTATCCAAACCCAATACACCATCGCCACGGCGTTTAAGAGCAACTGAAACATGAGTTCCTACAAAGCCAGCAGCACCAGTAACCAATACAGAAATACCATTACGTGACCTTACTTTAGCTGAAGCTTTAATCCTCTTCTCCCAAGCAGGACCACCATAGGAGCTGGTTCTGAGAGATCTTCTTGAGAGATCTGAAGAAACAGAGGATGAAGAAGCTGGAGATCTGTAAAAGAATACAAAGATCAACCCAAAGAATACAAATGACCAAAATGTGAGCTTTGCTAGAGAAAAATGCATCCTTAGCCTATTGTAAGGAGACTTTTCCATCTTGAACTTTCCTGGGGTTGATGGGATATTGTCAATGTGCATCATTTGGGACATTACACTTGCCAAATCTTGGATATTTGAGCAATACCCACCTTGGGTATTTCTTGTTTTCAAAGATAATCTCCAATTTCTCTTGGATTTTCTTGAAAAAGGTGAGGGTTAGGGTTTGAAAAAGTCTCTTCTTTTTTGTTTTTGTTGTTTTCCCTTGTAATGTAATGAAGTTTTGGTTGTTGATAGTGGAAATGGAGATAAGAAGCAAAATAAAGAAAAAGGGGTGGCTATGAAGGTGATGATGAGGGTATTGGTATCATCAAACAAACAAAAAAGAGTAAAAAAAGAAGATGAGGGTATTGAAACTTTAGCCTATATTTATGGGAATCTTCTGGTTTCTTGGAGGGACTGGTTGTTGTTGGAACAAAATGGTAGTAGTAGTAATTATTGTAATTTTTTTTTCTTTTCTTTTCTTTAACTTTTGTGGGGTTTCTTTGCCTTTGGATTTAGAAGAAAAAATATTGACGATTGATTAAGAAATGGGTGATTGGAAAGAGAGAGTGTGTGTGGTTGGAGTGTAGACTAAATTTGAGGAAGGAGAAGAATGTGGTTTGAAGAATTTAAAAAAGGAATTATGAAAGATTGAAAGTGGACTAATAGCTAAGAGGTTGAGTTTTGGGGGTGGGGTAGGTATTTTAAGGACATAGTCAAACAAGAGTGTAATTAATGAAAAATGGATTAACCTAAGTATAACAAACTTTGAGTAAAAAATTAAAGAACCCTAATTTTTTTCCCCATTAAAGTGCAAAAGCTCACAAATACTACTCCTTTCTATCCATATTACTTTGTTTGTTTATATTTGATTTGACATACCTTGTAAAAATAATTATTTAATTATATTACTATTAATTATTTTAAGTCATTCTATTCACATGTGAATTTAAAATAATTATTTCTTAATAATATGGATAAAGTAGATATAAATATTTTTTAGTTTTCCAATTTTGATAAGTAAAGGAAGATATTCAATTTTAGTATAATAAACAAGTTATATAAGTGGATGGAGGGATCAATTACTTGTTGACAAATTGGTACGTTAACTAGTATTCCTTCCTTTTAAAATAAGTGTCATTTTAATTTATTTGACACACATTAAGTAAAATTATAAATGTGAGATTTAGTTTATTGAGTTACCTTATTTTGGAACCTAGAGTATATTTCAACTTGGGAAGAGTTGGCTTTTGTCTGATTGTGGAAAGTGTGAGGTAGTTGGTTAATGCATTGATAGGTGGAAAAAAAAAACAAAGGCCATGAAGTTAAGTATAGTTTATTTCATAAAAGTTATTTTAATGAGGGGAGTTTCTTGATTTGGGGAAAAGTCATTAAGGGTTTTGTGTTTTTGAAAGTGTGAGCAAATATTGGGTGGTTTGTTGGTGACTAAAGCTTGGGGTTAATTATGAAAGGTTGTTGATTTTTACCAATTTTGGATGGTAGGAGAGATTTATGAAGGATCTCATAAATATTCATTGA